AAAAGTGGAAAGATCCAAGGAGCTACACTTTCTGATGCTCAGAAAAAGCCATACAATGGGAAGAAAGAGTCCAATGTTGTGTATGGTCAAAAGAGTCGTCATGACCAACACGTAGGAGCAATCTTGATCTCTAATCCTACGCCTGCTCAACAAAGACAAGGGCATCAGCGTAAGGAGGTCGTGCCTAAAAGACAATTCACTAAGATCAACATGTCACTGGCTCAAGCGCTACAACACATGTTAAAGGCAGAGATAATTACGTTAAAGGCTCCTCTCCGAAACCCAAATACTTCTGATCCTACCTATCATCCCAATGAAAGGTGTGCATACCACTCTGATAGTCCAGAACATGACACAAGAAATTGTTGGGCTCTGAAGAACAAGGTCCAAGACATGATTGATGCCAAGGAGATCGAGTTTAACCCTCTGGAGACTCCAAACATAATCAATGCTCCTATGCCAAATCATTGAGAGCGCCTTGTTCATTTTGAATTTTCAATTGTAATTTCTTTTGTTGTTCAAACAATTATCTATTAATGTCAAACTTTATTTCATTAATGCATTGCATATGTTTGTCTTGATTTGATCCACTCATTTTCATTACATTTAAACTATGCTTTTAACTCTCTTTATGACATTCAACTCTTGCTAAAAGTTACAAGCCTTTAGAGGGAGGATGACGAAAACAATGCCATTATCTCATAAAGTATGCTTTTGGACAGACCTTGCTGACGATTTACAGACATTCTTTCAAATTCTAAACACTGGAGTTATAAGGAAGATAATCCCTAGTCAACCCCTTCGAGCCAAAGAAGTATAAGTTTTCTGTTTTAACATAAATTGAAACCTTTAATCAAAACCTGGGGCAGAGTAGTCTCTCAGTTAATTCAAATGCGCTTTAAGCCGCAAACTCTCATCTCGTAATACAACGAATGACATCAAAAACATTCCTCTGAAATCAAAAGATGGTGATGGTTCCCTATCACATAGGAAGTCACTATTTCTCAAAAAAGTAAAGCCCGCTAAGTCAAAACCTACAAAGGAGACTTAAGAAAACGGGGGCATCCCGCTGACTGTAATCTCAAAACAAGAACAATCAGGTAAAAATCAGGGATAACAAATCAAAAAGAGGTCACTACAAATCCTCAACAACATGAAAAAGGTTGCAAAAAAAAATAATTGCCTTCCGATAAACTTAACTTGTCTGAACCATCACCAAAACGTAATTCTAGACTCAATTGGAGTTCAAACGTACAATTAACTAAATTTAGGACTGAAGAACGTCACGAAGAGCGGGTGGATACAAATATATTTTGAGCCTTTATCCTTTGTTTCTTAAACCATGAACCAAGCCGCGTTACAACCCTTTAAAAGTCCTAATTGAAGCATGGGTTAGTTCGAAAGCATACTGTTACAAAAGGTATCCTGACTCCTGTAAGGCTTTACTCAAAATCCAGAGTTGAATTACAAACTTCTTTACTTGCTAAAAACACATTGTTCAAAACTTCAAGACAAACATAAACTTTGCATTACTTGAATATCCCTATTTGCATATGGCTATTTGTTTGACAGCAGAGAAATTCACACAATGAATATCCAGTGAACGAAAGCTCTCTCAGTGAACAAAATCAATTCAAGTAGGATGACATTTCTAATGACAAATCTCCTATCGACAAGGGGGTACAACATGTCACTATCCAGCACATTTGGGGAAGTCCATCCAAGAAATCTCTCAAGAAGTACAGAGTAACCAGGGGCAGGTTTCCATCTCCGTCACTTGGGGCATTGAACGTCAATCTCAGCAAAGGGTTACGTACAATTAAATATTTTTGGCAATACCACAAACATTTGCTGCTAGGCGCAATGACAAGTCTCCCCAAAGTCCTTCTCATAGGATAATTTCCCAGCAAGAGTTTAATCTCTGAAAACCTTTCCCCAGCTGAGACAACCTCAAGAGTCCTCGAGGACTTTCCCAAACGAAGTCGTCACCTCTCTAGCAGACTGGCAACATGGTTTATTTCCCCAACAAACGGTAGGATTCCCCCAGTTTGAGTTTGCCTCTCCGACTACTACAAATAAGAGGACCACAACTCCTCTTCTCTACAATCCCCAACAAGTTACTGTGAAACCTGGACCCGACCAGATATTAAGTTCAACTTCGACTCCTCAGTAGAGCAACGGACAACCGAGACTCCTGAACTTTTTCCCCCAAGGAGGAATCAATACTCTCCACAGAGTTCTCAACTCTCCCCGGCAGAGTTTCTCCTCAAACAACAAAACAGGAATCCCCGGTGGAAACATTGTAAGTGAAGTTTGAAGACACACATACTCTTCAACAGCAGTCCAGGATTTAACAAACTCCCCGAAATTTGTCAAGGATTTATTTTCCAGACAAAAATACATTCATTAACATCTCACATTTTATATATCATATTACATACATGACAAGTGCACACGACACAATCTCATTTATTTTGAGAACATCATTACGCAATGCATACATCATGACATTGCATACAACTAACTCTTTACCTTTTCAGGAAAGATCAGTCAACAGATAAAGGTCATCATCCTTTTGGAGTAGTAATCATCAAAGATTCCTTCATTATCCTGCTGAGGTAGTAATCATCCAAGATTCCTTCATCATCCTGTTGGAGTAGTAATCATCCAAGATTCCTTCATCATCTTATTGAGCATTCAAATACAGTTCAGATACGCTCCAGATACGGATGCCATCCTGATACTCATTCAGATTCAGCATTCAGATACAATTCAGATACGCTCCAGATACGGATGCCATCCTGATAATCATTCAGATTCAGCTTTCAGATACAATTCAGATACGCTCCAGATACGGATGCCATCCTAATACTCATTTAGATTCAGCTTTCAGATACAGTTCAGGTACGCTCCAGATATAGATTCCATCCTGATACTCATTCAGATTCAGCTTTCAGATACAGTTCAGATACGCTCCAGATACGGATGCCATCCTGATACTCATTCAGATTCAGCTTTCAGATACAGTTCAGATACGCTCCAGATACAGATGCCATCCTGATACTCATTCAGATTCAGCTTTCAAATATAGTTCAGATACGCTCCAGATATGGATGCCATCCTGATACTCATTCAGATTCAGCTTTCAGATACAGTTCAGATACGCTCCAGATACAGATTCCATCCTGATACTCATTCAGATTCTCTTCTAGAAACAGTTCAGATGCGCTCTAGATATGGCAGACATTCTGATACTTATTTCAGATTCCTTCTAGAGACAGTTCAGATGCGATCCAGATATGGCTGACATTCTGATACTTATTCCATATTCCTTCTAGAGACAATTTAGATGCGATCCAGATATGGCTGACATTCTGATACTTATTCCAGATTCCTTCTAGAGACAGTTCAGATGCGATCCAGATATGGCTGACATTCAGATACTTATTCCAGATTCCTTTCAAATACAATTCAGATACGATCCAGATTCGGATGTCATTCTGTCACTCGTTAAAATACAGTCCAGATACGATCTAGATTCGAATGTCATTCTATCACTCATTCAAATACAGTTCAGATACGATCCAGATTCAGATGTCATTTTGTCACTCATTTAAATACAATCCAGATACGATCTAGATTCGGATGTCATTATGTCACTCATTCAAATACATTCCAGATACGCTCCAGACACAGACGCCATTCTGACAATCATCCAGTTCCAGCTTACAGATACAGTCCAACAATCATTTTTGGATGGCATTCTTAAGCCCATCTCCAACAACTATCTATTACCTCTCCAAATGGCATCTTTAAGCCCATTCCCTCTATCATTAATCATCTTCGAGTGCAAATTTTCTGGATACTCTAGTGTTCAATCATCTTCCATCTTTAAGTCACGAATGGCAGAATTACCAATCTAACTCTTCAGGTGTAAGAAGATTGAACAGGGGAAGCTGTTGTACCCAAAAATTTGCCCTCTCATTTCTCAAGGAATCACCCTGGATCCTCGAGTTTGCTTCCATCCAATTCCAAGCTTTAAACTGCAATTTTTCAAGAAAAGTCACCCGCAAGGGCAAAATGGTCATTTGCACACTGAGAAGACCAACTTTAACTTTTGGATCAAAATCAAATCTCAAAAATCATATTTCATCAAGACATGTTGAAATATGAAGTTTGTTTCATCAAGAATTTCAAAAGTCAAATTTTACTTTGGAAAAGTCAAATTCTAAATACTTAGAAACTTTTCTAAGTGTTTAAGAAGCATGACAAAACTCAGAACTTCTGACCAGATTATCACCATAACACTCAGCAAATTCTGGACACTCTCAAGGCAGATTTTGGTCAGAACTTCTGGGTAAGTTTTCACAAAAGCTTCAGTCAGAATTTGCCAGGGTAATTCAAAGAAGGTTAAGAAGTATGCTGCCAGCTTTCTAGAAAGTCTGAAAGCTCCTTCAGAACGTGCTGGAGCCAGAAGATACAAAGATCAGAGGATGGATGCTACGCAGAAGCAGAACTTCTGATCCAGAATTAAGCCATGGTGTAGAATCTCACGTTGCAGGATTTCTGGTTGTGATAAGTCTCATCATCATTTAATGCTCATTTAATGCTCACAACTATTTTTGAGTCTTTATCCATAGGATTTGGTTGGAGATTTAATTGAAATATATCTATTTTTTAAATTGATACGAGAGTTTAATTTGTTTCAACCTTGAGTAGAAGGATACCTTAATTTATAAAGTTTTAAAAGAAAATAATAAAAAGTTTGTTGAAAGTTGAAGTTTGAACCACATCATACTTTTTATTTCAGTTAGTAATTAATTAATCTAAAGCACCTTTGCCACGAGTGGTAAGATATTAAACTGAATTATCTACATAAGGTGCTTCCAAGAAACTGCCAAGTTAGTAAGGCCTATAAATAAGTTGCTCGCGACATTCATTCAACATACATCAATTAGAAGGTCCATACTCAAATATCACAATCACAACAACAAAGAGTAATGGCCAAAGCCAAAGTTTATCCTCAAGAACAAGAATCTATAAAATCCTCGGATTCTCATGTTCAGTGTGTCAGTAATAAAAGTGAAAGATATACAGTATGGATGAAATCACTTGTTCTCCACTCAAATGGTTGCACTGTCTATGATTCAAATGGTAACATAGCTTATAGAGTTGATAACTATAATAGAAAAGGTAGAAGAAAAGTTAATCTCATGGATCTACAAGGTAATGTTGTCTGCACCATCAAAAAGAGATTACTAGCTTTTGGATGTTGGGAAGGACACAAATATCACAGCAGCAAAGAGGAGCAAGCATGGTTTCAAGTTAAAAGATGTTTTACAGGAAAAATAGTTTGCATCATTAAAGTGGGATCACAAGAATTGTGCATAGAAAGAATGAGTATTGGAAAATCATTTGGTTTTCGGATAATAAACAAAGATGGACAAATGATAGCAGAGGCAAAGCAAAAAGAGTCTTGTTCAGGAATTGTTCTGAGTAATGATGTTCTAACTTTGGATTTGGAAGCTGGCACAGATCATTCCTTAATAATGGGTTTGATTACAGTATACGGAGTGATATGCGGCTTAATGTAAATTTATTTTCTTGTATATTTTCTAGCTAAAAGCTTTGTAAATAGTGTTTGGCTTTGTTTGTATAAAAAAGATCATGTGCAAAATCAAAGTTTTTTCATTATTACAGAAGCATCACCAGGATCAATAGTTGATGAGATATGTATATATATGTACACACATATATTATTTACAGGGAAAAATATATATATAATTTATTGTGTATTTGATCTTTGTTATGTGTTAACTTAACGTTAGAAAATTTGAGTTTCCTGGTTGAATGGTTTCTTAAGATTGTTCGAAAGAAATAAAACTGAGTTTCCGGACTGAGTGTACATCTCTTTCATGAGTAAGACCTTCGTAACTTTGGGGGTATGTTTGAATAAGAAATGGTTTTAATAAAATAAGTATTGGATTCAAGTTTGGACACACTATAAGTTCCTTTTTTGACGCTGTTCTTCCTTTTAACATGCTCCATCTCCATAGAGGTAGCACTAACCATGAAAAGGAAGGTAAATAGGGATATTTTTGAAAATTGGGTAGATCAAGAGAAGTTGGATACTACTTTTTCTTTGCTAGCAAGCGCATTCTAGATTGTGTTTTACTTAAGTGGGGTCCTCCTCGGGTTGAGGGTGTTCCCTTCGAATGAAGATAAGAGTATGTGCAATAAATTTGATGGATATGTCATTCCTTTTCATGAGAGCATATTATCTTTAATCGGCTTTCGTCTTCCTTTCAATGACTTAGAGGTTGGCATCTTGAACCACGTGGAAATCGCTCCTTCCTAGTTACACTCGGTGAGCTGGTGGTGCGTCAAGGTCTTCTAGCATATTGGTGTGAGAACAAGAAAAAAGTGATGACCTTGGCGCTCTTCTTTTACCTCTTTAAGGACTAGCACTATTCCGCTCATCATGCACCAGGATAAGGCTTGATTTTTCTGAGGTAAGTGTTCTACCCCAATTTTTGTCACTAAGATCCCTTCGTCATACCATGTTGATTCAATCACAATAAGATCACATTAGGATTCTTGGTTCCCCTCCCTATATTTAGTTTTGCTCTTTGAGGAATCACCAAGCACCTTGACTTGTGTTCTTTTGTGATCATGAATATTTTTGTCTTGATTTCTTCTTTTAATTAATAAAGTGCAATGTTGTTTTGTCTTGCTTGTTACTCATGTAGGTAAAGGCAATAAGATTCAGCAAGTTGCTCCATGGGTTCATGAGTTTATTTCCATGCCCTAGTCAATAAATCTTTAGAAGTTCAAACCTCACCATTGGATTTGTTTTGGAAGAAATGGCATGACAAGGTTATTTTGGTTCACCACATTTCAAGATTATCAAATTTGGTTCAAAAGCACAAGGGATTGATTGGAGAAGTTGTCATGCTTAGACAAGGCTTTGTTTCCATTGGTCACAAATGCATATTTCTCTTAATTCTCAAGACATGAAAGTCGTTGTGGTTGCTATTAGTTCTCATTATCATCCTCAACAACTTATATTTACAAAGCATTTGTGTTGGTACAAGAAGTTTGTTCAAAATTGTCAAAGTTCCTCAAGGAATTTTTCTTTATCTAGGAGCTAGGGTTTTGAACTTCAAAGAATTATATCTTGCTCATCTTTTGGTATTTTTGAGTGATTCCAAATACATCATTATCTTCAAAGGGTTAGCAACAAATCACTTCAAAAGTTCCAAGGAGTTTTCATGTGGAAGAAACTTGATGAAGAAGAAAGATTACAAGTCCTCTAGATGAATCCCCAATTTTCCATGTGTGATTTCAAATGATCATAACTTGGTCAATTTTTATCATATTGAGCCCATTATTTTTCCACAATTATCTTGAGGATGTGAACTTCATGCCTTCTTTTATGTGGAAAGTGAGAAAATGGATGTAAGTTACCTTAAGTATACAAAAGATTATAGGTCATTTCATGATTTTTTTGCCAACTTCAAGAATTCATAACTCTCTCAATTTTTGGAGATTTTGAACGGTTCAAGTTTCAAAATGTCATTCAAGAGGTCTATTTCATGCCATCTTTTTTGGTCAAGAGAAAATTTCAATTGGAAGACCATGTGTGGATGCAATACATTATAGGTCACTTTTGAAGAAAAATTTGAAATATTTCTAAGTATGGAAAGTCAACCCTTTTTCTCCAACTTTGACTCAATACAACTTTCAGCTCAAACATCCATTTGATTCCATTCTTTTTTCATTGCAAAGCTTGTAACCTCGTCTTTCTAAAGCATCAAGAACCATGGCCTAAGACCCCTGGAGCTGAGAATGCCATGATTTTGAAGTTGGTAACTTGGAACTGAAGTTTCATCTCAAGTCAGATTTTGAAATCTTTGTTTTGGCTTCTAATCACAAGTTTTCCACGCGTTTTTGCCTCTAAACATGTTTAATGAAGTTTCAGATTTGATTAACACAATAAAACATGCGTTTTGGATGAGTTTTGATCAAATTAGAAGTCACACTTTTCTTGTTTTCAACTTTATACGATTTCCCTCCAAACTTCATCATTTCAGACGCTTGGACATTCCATTTGATTCCCTATAAATAAAGGGTCATTCCCAATTCATTTCCTCAAGCTTGGATAGCCAGAATCACCCTGCAAAACTAGTTCCATAACTCAGAATTCAGCAACTTCGAAATCTATTCTCAAGCCCTTTTCAATCCAATTTTTCCATCAATTCACCTTCCTTGATCTTCCCTGAAGCTAACCATATAATTAAATTTAAAAATTGTTACCTATATTGCTCCATAGAAGTCCAGATTCAGAGCTCTGCAACTCAACTTCAATAGGTAGATTCCTTCGTCAATTCTTCAAAACTTTGATATCATTGTGATGCTCTCATTGCCCTTGTTCTAGTTGCAACACTTGCTTTTTACTGGAAACACGTTTTGACCATGAAATTTCAAATCTCTTTTCAAAACTTTCCTTCCAAATTGCTTGAGCTATAGTTTATATAAATTTTTCGCGAAGGTGTGGTTGTCTTCGTCTTAAAGAGACGAAGCGAATGTCATAAGTCTCGTGCTCTAATTTTACTGATTGAGCAACCTGGTTTTGGGACTGGCTGAAGTTTGAAGATGACCAACGTGTCATCTTCCAACCAATGAAGGCGCGTCATCTGTGTTTTTTCAAAAATCTGATTTAATTAATGATCTTATGCATTATTCACTAAAGTCCATAACATGCACAACGCGCCATGTCCACTTGATTTGTTTACTAACGCATTTTGACATTGATCAGATGGCCCATATTTTTTTGTTTTTTTATTTTCTTTTCTGATTTTTATATTTAATTGTTTTAAAATTCAAAAAATCATAGAAAATTCATTTTTAGTCCAAAAAATCTGAAAAAATTATGAAAAATATTTTTGATTATTCTCTTTCTGATTTTTATTTTTTCACAATTTAATTTTGTGTTTTGGTATTTATTTATAAATTTTCACTTTATTTGAATTGTTTTAAATGTTTAAAAATACTTTCTCAGGCTGATCGATCCCAACAATCGAATCTACCAGTTTCACATCCAGCTTCTGAGCTTCTCTGATACTGTCTAGAAATTCATTATTAATCTTCAACATACCTAACATAACACTATGCGGTGTAATCTCGCAAACCAAACTCATATCTCTGAACCGTTCAATTAATTCCAACTCTTTAACCATCATTGCCTACATATGTAAAGTCTTTCGACTCAACGCATCAGCTACCACATTCGCTTTTCCTGGATGATAATTCAAACCGAAATCATAATCCTTTAACAATTCCAACCATCTTCGTTGCCTCATATTCAACACCTTATGATCGAATAAATACTTTAAGCTCTTATGGTCACTAAACACTTCAAATCTAGAACCATAAAGATAATGCCTCCAAATCTTCAACACAAACACAACTGCAGCAAGCTCTAAATCATGTGTAGGAAAGTTCTTCTCATGAGTCCTCAACTGCTTTGACGCATAAGCAACTACCTTATCATTCTGCATCAACCTTCGATGGATCTACAACAATGCCACTACTTGAGATCACATGACCAAGAAAACTAACCTCCTTTAACCAGAATTCACACTTGGTCAGCTTTGCATACAACTTCTTCTCTTTCAAAACTTGCAATACTATTCTTAAGTGTTATGCATACTCTTCTTCTGACTTAGAACAAATCAAAATATCATCAATAAACACCACCACAAACCGATCCAAATAAGTATGAAAGATATGATTCATGTATTCCATGAATACTCTCGGCGCATTAGTAACACTAAAAGGCATCACCGAATACTCATAATGTCCATACGCATTCTGAAAGCCGTCTTCTAGATATCTTCATCCTTCACTTTAATCTGATGGTAACACGACCTCAAATCAATCTTACTAAACACACGAGCATCCACCAATTGGTCCATCAAGTCATCTATTCTTGGAATCAGATACTTGTTCTTAATCGTCACTTTATTCAGTTGTCTATAATCAACATAAAGCCTCATACTTCCATCTTTCTTCTTTACTAACAACACTGGAGCTCCCCACGGCGATACACTTGGTCTTACAAACTTATTTTCAAGTAACTCTTCCAATTGCTTCTTTAACACTGATAATTCGGATGCAGACATCCTGTATGGTGCCATAGACACAAGTCTGGTACCAGATACAAGATCAATTGCAAATTCAACTTCCCTCTTCGACGGTACATCAGGAATCTCATCGGGGAAAACTTCAGGAAATTCATACACCACTTGCAATTCCTCAATTATAGCTTGAGTATCTACAGATAGTGACGCCATCAACGAGAACATTTGTGCTTCTTCTTACATCAACTTCCTCAATTGTCTAGCAGACAACAGACTATCTTCCTCTTCTTCAGGAGTAGAAAACCTCACAGACTTGTCATAACAGTTAATATGAACACAATTATGCTCTAACCAGTTCATACCCAAAATCACCTCCAAACCTCTTAACGGTAAACAAACCAAATCAACAGCAAAGTCTCTATCAAAGATCGACAAGGGACACTTTAAACACA